GTTTGGTGCTATGTAGACTCAATCTACTGACATCATGGTTGTGGGTCTCAGTGCTCAATGGGGTTGCAGGCTCTCATCAGTCCAGTAATTACAAGCACGTAATTAAGATTGTTGAGGCCACAGGGGAAAGATAGTGGTGTCAGGCTGACAGCATTCAAGATTCCACTGTTGCCACTCTACCACTGCCTTTTTGTAGACTGCTGTAGACCAAGGCCCAGAATAACTCTGGGATATTTGTATGGTTTCTGCAGTGTCCTTGACTGGAGGTGTCAGCTATGCTACAGCCACTGAGGTATCAATATATGAGAGTACTGAGATAATCAAAGGCACCTACAAGACGTGCTAAAGGTTTTCGTAGAATATGGACTCGAGGGCTCTCGTGGTGTAGTGGTACTGTCCCTACCTCTGAGCCAGGATGCTCAGTTTCAAATACCACCTGTTCCAGAGATCTGTAATAACATCTCTGTACAGGTTGACTTGAAAATAAAAACCAAAAGAACTGCGGATGCTGGAAATCGGAAACAAAAACAGAAATGGCTAGAAAAGCTTAGCAGGTCTAGCAACATTTGTGGAGAGAAATCAGAGTTGATGTTTCAGGTTGACCCTTTCTCAGAACTGTTGATTAGAAAGTATCTGGAATATAGGTCTGAGTGTCAGCAGCATTAAATAGGGCAGGAAATTGGGACCTGGCGTGCAGCTACAACATGGAGGAAAAACTGATATTGCAGGTGAAACTGAGCAAGTCTGTGGGAAGAAAGCAGAGTTAACATTTCATGTCCAGTGACTCTTCATCAGAATTATTAGCAGCTAGGAAAATGTGGTATTAGTACCGAAGATGAGATGGGGGTGGGTGGGAGAAGGGGAGAGGTGGACAGATGGAGATAGAGCCCAGAGAGAAAAGAAGAGAGATGAATGGGATGGTTAAACAAGGAAATTATGGACAGCAGGCCAGGACAGAAGGAAAGCTGAATAAGTGACAATAAGAGCCAAGAGCAGGAGAGACTGGGTGAGCTGTGCTGAAAGCAACCCATGTAATGTGATAATGGGCCGAGGAGTATTTGGGAATGGGTGACTGTGCTCAAAGCAGCCCGTGTCATTATAGGACTGGGTGTGGGATGGGCTTTAAAAAATAAAGAGAGTTTAATGTGGCTCTAAAGTTATTGAATGCAATGTTTGACTCCTAGAAGCTGTAGGGAACTAAGTAGAAAATAAGATGTTCTTCAAGCTTTTACTAAGGCTCACTGGAACACTGCAGCAGGCCTCCAACAGACATGTTGGCAATGGGAACATGGGAGTGTGTTGAAAGGGCAGGCAGTTGAAAGCTTGGGGTAATTTTTGCAGACAGAATGTAGGTGTTTGCAAAGTGGTCACCAAGTCTCTGTTTTCCCCAATGTAGAAGTGACCATGTATTGAAATTATAGGGTGACGGGATAATAGTGCATGATCACTGTCTTAATTTTCCTAATTGAGGGCAATGGGTTAAATAAATGTTAAGAGATTAAATTAGACATTTATCTTGGGTAAATTTTAAGTTTGGTATGTTTAAGTACGCATAAGTTTTTGAGGAGGTCTTTTGATGTAGTGGTAGAATTGCTGTCTCTGAGAGAACAGTCTCGGTTCAAGTCTCACTCCAGGACTGGACAGCCAAGGAAGATGCATCCATAATGCAGCCAAACAGAGCAGTTAAGAATGGGTTAATGACCTGTGTGGTCCATATTGGCAGAATATGTATCTGATTATCATTATAGTTGACCCAGGAAGCATGCTTGTAGTGCATACACAGCATTGCCCAGGCTAACACTCTGGTAGTCAGGGCTCTGCCTACATTCTAATTTCAACTTCTCTGACTTCCATAGCACTGACTCTAGATGCCTTTGGAAGTGAATCCTGGAGCCTGGTTTTCACATTGTGGATACATGATGAATTCTGTAGTCTTTACAAGATATTAATTAGTAAGTTGTGGAAAAAAATTTGCCTTTCCTTGTGCACAATATTTTCTGAGGACAAATTTGTTGCATTTTGAATGTTAATAGTTAGACCTCCACAGTAGCCCATGATGGTTAGAAGAAAGAATTGTGGATAACAGGAAAGAATGAGTGGTCTCAGGAACAAAAAAAACCTAACAACTGAAACCATGACATAATTACCTATTGTGTTGTCAGTACTGATGAAATATCCAATTTTAAAAAAAGGTGTTTATTTCACAAATATTGTTGGTGTCACAGCTTCTGCTATATTAAAATCCTGACTTGAATTTACAATTTTGAACAGGGACAGGCGAAGGTGATGTTGATGATGCAGAGCGGCTACTACTACCCTTTCTTGAACGGTATCCAAAGGTATTGTGTGGGAGAAACAAATGTTTCATTTTAAAATATTGTAATCCTATCAAAATTTATTTGTTATTACTTAAAGTTATGTCTTCCTGTTCCTGCAGGGTGCCATCTTCTTGTTTTTTGCAGGAAGAATTGAAGAAATCAGAGGAAACATAGATGCAGTAAGTCAAGATTTTGGGCATCAAATGGGCAGTATCTCTTTTTGATTATAGTACATGGGTGGTAATCTGGCAGAACAGATTGTCCATGTGTTACAGAACTGTTTAATTTCCATAACACTGAAACAATCAACAAGTTTTACTTCCAATTGTTCCAGAGAAGCGTAACTGTCATCTGCCCCCATCTTTTAAACATAGAGAATACTGCTTCTTGATAAATTGAACTGTATTGGCCTCAACATTACCATCTTCGTGCAACAATCTTTATTTGACCAATTTGTAAAATTCAACTGTTATCACAAAGACTGGGATAAATTTCAAGTTTGCAACCTTTTTCATTAGTATTCTGTCCACAGTACCACAAGCATAATTCTAGCATTTTTAATTGGATATTTATTACGCTGTCTTTCTTCCTCTGCAGTGGGGCAGGAGTGACTTAAAGCAGCATCGGTTTTGCTTCATATTAGATTTCTTTTGAAATTGTTTGGGCTGTTAGAGGTCATGATAAATTAAGCTCAGTAGATTGGGATCTTTTGTCTTCTCTTGTCTTTACTATTGCAAAAACGTTTAAGACATGAATTCATCAGTAAAGTGATGGAAGGGGTCATCACTAGCGCTATTGAGTGGAACTCGATCAGCAATAACTTGCTTACTGCTCAGTTTGGGTTCAGGGTAACTCCTGACCTCATTACAGCCGTGGTTCAAACATGGTCAAAAGAGCTGAATTCCAGAGGGAAGGCAAGAATGACTGCACTTGATACCAAGGCTGCATTTGACTGAGTGGGCATTGAGAATCCCTGGCAAAACTAGAGTCAGTGGGAGTTGCGGGGGAAACACTCTGCTGTTTGGAGTCATACCTTCCTCAAAGGAATATGGTTATGGTTTTTGGGAATGAGTCATCTTAGCACCTGGAGGTGTTCTTCAGGGTGGATATTATCTAATCAACTTGCTCACTGTTCAGAGATGTTATTGCACATCTCTGGAGCAGGTGGAAAGTGAATGTGAGTCTCCTGGCTCAGGCATGACCACTGTGCCACAACAGCCCTTTTCCTCAGGGTAGTGTTCTAAACCCAACCATCTTCAGCTGCTTCATCAAAGACTTTCCCTCTATCATAAGGTCAGAAGTGGGGATGTTCACTTATGATGGCACAATGTGCAGCACCATTCACGACTCAGATACTGAAGCAGTCTATGTCCAAATGCAGCAAGACCTTAACAATATACAGGCTTGGGCTGAAAAGTGACACGGTGGCTCAGTGGTTAGCACTGCTGCCTCACCGCACAAGAGACCTGGGTTCGATTCCACCCTTGGGCGACTGTCTGTGTGGAGTTTGCATATTCTCCCCGTGTTTGCACAGGTTTCCTCCCACAGTCTAAAGATGTGCAAGTTAGGTGGATTGGTCATGCTAAATTGCCCACTGTAGGATGAGCAGACGAGGTGGGTTGGCCATGGGAAATGCAGGGATAGGTTGGGGGATGGGTCTGGTGGATGCTTTTTTGGAGGGTCAGTGTGGACCCATTTGGGCCAAATGGCCTGTTTCCCCACTGTACGGATTCAATGATTGTATAAATGTTCTTCATTCCACACAAGTGTCAGGCAATGACTGTTTACAACAAGGGAGAATCTAACTATCATTGTTGTCATTACCATCAGTGATGTTACCATCGCTGAATCCACTACTAAGCTGGAGTTGCCAGTGACCCAGAAATTGAATTGGACTAGCTACGTATGTAGTGGCTATAAGAGCAGGCCAGTCACTTGAAATCCTGCAACAACTAACTCCCCTCACAACTTGACTCCCTAAAACCCATCCACTGTTTACAAGGCACAAGCTTGCATGGGTGAGTTTAATTCCAGCAAGACTAAAGAAGCTTGACAGCATCCAGGACAAAGCAGCCTGCTGGATTGGCATCATGTCCTTAAACATCCACTCCCTCCACCACTGACGCTCAGCAGCAGTATGTACCATATAAAAGATGTGCTGCCGAAATTCAGTTAGGCTCCTCAGACAGCATCTTCCAAGCCCACGTTCCCTTTCATCTAAAAGGACAAGGACAGCAGGTACATGGAAACACCCTCAGCCACCTGCAAACCATTCACCATACTGACTTGGAAAGATATTACTGTTTCCTCAGTGTCATTGGGTCAAAATCCTGGAACTCCCTCCCTAATGAAATTATGCATGTACTTGCAGCACATGGTCTGCAGTGGTTCAAGAAGGCAGCACCCAACATCTGGTCAAGATCAACTAGGGGTGGCCAATAAATGCTGACCCACCAGCGATCTCCATGTCCCATGAATGAATAAGAATTGTAGTGATTGTAACGAGGTCAGCCAAGTGGACCTCATAGAAAGAGTTCCCTGATTGGGGCTGTTAATCTGGTCTAATTGGGAATCCTTGGCTGACTGAATAGGAGTGTAAACATCCTGTTCACTCTGAGAACTGGCTCTGAGGGAGCTGGATTAGTGTCAAGGACTTGCCATGTGTAAATAAAGGGTGACTTTGTGACAGGATACTGGCTTCTGTGGAATTATTTCAGGAAATGTCTTTGTTTTACTGAAAGCATAACTGCGGAGTGATTTTCATTTTTTAGGCTCAGGTTCTTCTGGCTGTGGGACCGAATGAAAATAAATAGATTAAAATAACAAGGAAACAGGCATGTGTGTTGGGCATCTTGCATTCTGTCCTCACCCCACACCCAACAAGTTTAACTGCCCTGTCCCACTGTGCCTACTGGGTAAGGGAGGGGCATTAAAAGTCTCTTTAAATAGAATCGTAGAATGGTTACAACACACAAGGAGGCAATTCAGTTCATCAGATATCTGCTAATTATTTACAAGATCGACTCGCTGAGCCCCACTACTTCATATCCCTACAAATGTTTCCACTTTAGATAATTATCCAGTTTCATTTTAGAGGTCTGTTTGAATATGCCTTGACCACACTCTTGAGTTGTGCATTCCCAATTCAATCACTTTGTAGAAAAAAAATACTTTTGTTTTTACATTTGCTAATGAGCTCCACCACTGGTGCTTTGGTGCAATCCCTTTATGTAGTTGCAGAGAGACACAAACCATGCTATACATGACTGAGGAGATCTTCTCTACAGACCAAGTGTGAACTAATCAGCTTAAACTTAGCAAATGAGGAGGTTATGGCTTGGTTTCAGGGATTTGAATTTGCTTACTATATATAAAAAAAAACTTGAAGATTTCCATGTTTACCTTCAAGTGAATCTTTATTTTGATCATTTCATTATACACTTTTGTTCAACAATGCTCTAGGCTATTTTACGCTTTGAGGAGTGCTGTGAGGCTCAGCAACACTGGAAGCAGTTTCATCACATGTGCTACTGGGAGCTAATGTGGTGTTTTACTTTCAAACGTCAGTGGAAAATGGCATATTTCTATGCGGACCTATTGTGTAAAGAGAACTCATGGTCCAAGGTGAGAGTAACTCTGCTTGTGACAATTGGTCTGAGAAAAACAAATACTTCTCTCCCTCTTCCAGCAGTTCCTCGGGTTTCACCTCCCTAAATAAATGCTGGGATTTTTAAGTATGCAGCCTGATATTTTCCTTGGAGATAGCAAGAACTGCAGATGCTGGAGTCAGAGTCAATACAGTGTGGAGCTGGAGGAACCCAGCAGATCAGAGGAGCAGGAAGGTTGACATTTCGGATTTACATCTTTCTGTAAACCGAAAACATTGACTTTCCTGCACCTCTCCTGCCTGACCACCTGTGCTCTTCCAGCTGCACACACTTTTTTCTTGTCTGAGATTTGGTGTAAAACATTGCTCAACTAAATTAAAGATTCATCGACTCCTTTGATTGTTCAATAACAAAAATCTTTTAAAAATATTATCTATCTGGACTGCGTATTGCATATAGGAAACCTTTCAATAAAGCAATTGTAAGAATCTTGCTTACAATTTAATCCACTTAGTCAGTAAGGCAGTGGAAATCCCAATGTCGTTGAGCTCTCAAAAGTATGCTCAAAACTGGCAATAGTAATGCTGGATTGGCATAATTAAGAATTGCAATGGGATTGAAGTGTGATGCTAGAGATATATGGGAATACTATTTAATGCAGTTTGATATTTACTGAATCATGAGACAAATGTAGAAGTACACGTCCAGACAAGGTTACATTCCCTGATTTGTGTATTTTCAAAATTTGTACAATTCTGGTAATTACAGATATGAACCATAATAGAATAAAGAGCCCCTTGGTTGTTGCAATGTATTTTTAATTGTTTCTATGTATTCTGCATGCACACGATAATAAAAACTAAATACCTAATTGTAATGAATTATGTAAATACAAAAAATGTAAAGTCTCCATAGTCTTACTACATCGTAGGACTGCTCTGTCGTTAGAGAGCAATGAGAGATGATGGTTTAACTTGACGGTCACTGCGCCTCTGGCAAGGGGAGAGGTTGAGAAGGAAATCTCCTCATGGTGACCTCAGCCAGTGTGGGAATTGAACCCACTCTGGCATCTATTGGGAAGTAACAAAAATACCTGCTATAAATAAAAAGCAAGGTCAGATGGCCTCCAGCCATATTTTGTGGTTTGTACTGAGCACACTTTGTTTCATTTTCATTGAACTAAGGTTTCATTGATGTTATCTTTTTGTTAATTCCTAATGTGAAGTAGAAAGTGAGAGGAGTAAGGACATTGTTAACCCAGTGCCTCTGCTGCTCTTAAACCAATCTTTTAGATAGTGTCTCCCAAATGAATTAGCTCAAAATATAATTGTGCAGCTAGTTCATTTTTAAGATCATGTTACCTCTTTTTCACTCTTGAAGAAATGTTTGTTCTATAATGAATCAGCAGATCACTGTTTTCTGTTCTATCATCTGTTTGTATCCTGAGTGAAATTTATTGATAATATGCCCAATTGTGGAGCTTCATAATACTTACAAAGTTCAAGACTGAAGTAGAGATAAAAGATGATTGGGTTTGAATATTGTTCTGAGTACTTAATGTAAGCTAGGCCACCTGTTCCTTGGAATAATGAATATGTCTGTGGCATTTTTCAGATTAATATCATCCCTACTAGCTAGCCAAAAGTCTCTGATTTTCAGCTAAAAATGATGCACTCCTAGTTTGGTTAGATTTCGGGTTGGGAGAATAGTTTTAAATATGTTGCTTTCCCTTTGAAAATGAACCAGAAACAAATGTCATTCTCGTGTTTAGTAATTGAACAACAAGAGAAAGACACAGACACGGGGAAGATAAAAACATTTTGCAGCTTCCAAATTACCAACATGGTAAACAGAATCTATCAAAAGGGAGCTCAGTATTTCCAAGCTTTTTTTTAAAAAAAACCCACCAGGTTGGTAAATGCTTTGATCTAATGATGATCAGCACTTGCAACCTCAGTTCACTGTCTGTCCTTATTTGGCATTTAATGATTTCAAAGACAAAACAGGATTACAGTGAAAATATGTTTTTGCTTCCTATAGTTAGGTTTGAATGTAATTTTGGACAGATGAGATGAAATCCTCCCTGCTTTGATTGGAAAACATCTATTACATAGGTGATGTGGAAGCCAGTTTCCACCTGTATTTCTAATGTTATGAATTGGCTATTTGTTTATAATATCTGATAATTCTGAGAAGGCTGGTCATTCCTCTTTGTGGAAGTAATTTGTCATAGTTGTTATGCGAAAGAAAAATTGAGGAAATGGTAACAATTGCTCTAATGTTTTCCTTCCCCATTTAACAGTCAACATATACGTACATGAAAGCAGCCTACCTCAACATGTTTGGGGATGAGGACTTCAAACCTTTTGGGGATGATGAAATTGAACTATTCAGGTCAGTTGTTTAATTAGTTATATTCTTATTAAATTACAAATAAATGAAGACGAAAATATTATGTTCCAAGAATCAAAATATTGACATTTTATGCTTTTAATTTCTTGATCTAACATCTGATAATACAGATCGGTCAAGTTTAGGATTGAAATTCATGTTTCAGTGCACATACTTTTTTAAAGATAACCTTGTTGAAAAGGAAAGAGAACACTGTATAGCAGAACAGAAATACTGTAGTCTTGCATGTTACAATGATCTGCTCTTTCTGCTGAATGCTTTGTAGAGTCATAGTCATATAGCACGGAAACGGACCCTTCAGTCCAATTCATCCGCACCGACCAAACATCCCAGTCTGAACTAGTCCCATTTGTAAGCATTTGGCCCATATTCCTCTCATCCCTTCCAATTCATGTACCCATCCAGATGCCTTTTAAATGTTGTAATTGTACTTGCCTCCTCCATTTTCTTTGGCAGTTCATTCCATACACACACCACCCTCTGCATGAAAAAGTTACCCCTCAGGTCTTTTTTAAATCTTTCCCCTCTCACCTTAAACCTTTAGTTTTGGACTCACCCAGCCTAGACTTTCTGCAAACGACATACAGCATATACACACTGATTCAAATGATTTCCAGAAGTAATTGTAGGTAATCATGTTCAACATGCATGTACATCTTTAGGAACTTTGTATAACAATTCATAAATGTTCCCAGTTAACAAACAAACTCGGAAACAGATGGCACCAGTCTCTGTACAGGGGAATTGAAAACATCAATTTCAGAAGGCTATTTTCTTTTAATGCTCAACTTTTGCCCATTCCGGATTTTACTGAGGGTGTTGATTGCTTGTTTAGGCTAAGGATTAGGAGTAGCAAATGCTTACTACTACTACACCCAAGTAGCAGACATCATGGTTGAACAGAGTATTCAATCACATTGGATATCTCCGGAACAAAATCCCAACCTTACCTAATGTTAAATGTAAAATCATAGTACCAAAATTTTGCAATTCATCAATAGTGATACTGATAGAAATTACAACACCTCTGCTATCACTCTCCTTGAGACAGTAACTCAGTACAGCTCCCTGTGATATGCAAGTGCCTGAATGCTTATGTGGTCAGGTTGGTAGCTGCCATGGAGAGACAAGTCCAGAAGTCTGAGTCTCATTGCTCAGCACTAAATGGCAAGGCAACAGTGGGATGAGGGGACCTTGACCTCACTCTGGTTTCCCCTTCTCTCCAAGGAGGCAGGCCAGTGCCAGAATGCACTAAGCCAGCAGAGGAAGCACATGCTGGCCCCCCAGAAGTCTCTTTTCAGGATACTTTAGAGGCAACCAGGTATTCCACCTCCACCCTACCTGCCACCCTAGGCCTAAGGGAGTTCAAGGTGTGTAGAGTGAACCTGCTTCTGGGCAGAATACACTGAACAAATCTTGACCCTCTAATAGTAGACACACTGAGGTTGCTTGGCCAAATCCCAAGGCAAACCTCTTTAGACTGCACTTGCAGTTGGGATTACACAAGGAATGCTAACCTCAGTAACAACAAAATATTTGCAGTCAGTATAAAAATGAATTCCTGCAAATCTGATTTATTGAACAAAATTTACAATGATGTCCTGTCTGAGTTCCTGTGGCCGACACATTTATGCGCTGTAAGATGCTGAAGGTGTTATGTCATTTAAAGAACATTTTTATCATTGTAATGGCCCAGCTCTTTCAGATCTTCATTGTCCATCTCATAGTGTCGATGTGCCGTCTCGTTCTTTGGAGCAGAGGATATTGGATATTGTGTCCTTAGCCTGGGCAGTGCAAGTACTGAGTCACATACATGATCTGCATGGAAACTTGAAGTTCAGGAGTCATCCTACATCCTTTGTTTCCCCAGTGAAAGGAGATAGTTCATTGCAGAAATGCTGAATAGCATTACCTGGGGTTTTGACCTGTACTCTGGACAGGGTACAGTGCCATTGTCCAACCCTCAACTGTGCAGCATTGTATGAAAGATGAGTTACTGTAGTTTGCCTGCATCTTTGCCACATCATGATGGTATCTATGACTACAAGCTCCTCGGTAGCAGTGGCTTTACATCAGCTGGATGCCCTTGTGGATGCATGTGTTCCTCATTCATTTGTGTCGCAGCTTTTAGTGCAGTGGCCACAGGGACCACAACAGCTTCTGAGCCTATTTCCATGTTGGGGACAGTTCCAATGAGCAACATCAGAAGCTAAGCAATGAACAAGATGGTAATGTGATCTTCAGCAATTGTAGTGTGCACATATTGCATTTAAGCAGTATCCTCCAAGAATTGCAACATGGAGGACCCCAACAAGGAGGTCAGTGGCATCCTTCTATTGTGACTGTACATGTCATCACCCTTATTCAGACATCTGTTGCTCAAGCTGGTGGTTGCACATACAGTAAGAAATTGTACCTGTGGTAGCAATAGTAAGGAGCTGTCCCTCACTCATTGAGCACTTGTTATTGACAGCATGATGGACTGAAACAGCGGTCGTGCTAGAATGAGTTGCAGGCTAGGCCACTCCCAAATCTACTGTATCCCCATACAATTCATTTATTTAACTGTCCATCTCCCACTTATCCATGAACCCAGCCATGAAGTGTTGATGTGCCAGACGTAGTAGTGCACTGCCCTCAACGCTCTCCTGTTGAAGCCAGGGCAATACTGACTGTTGATGACATGCCCCTCAACAACTTTCCATGTTACTCCCTTTCCCTCCCATACTGTATCATCTGCATCACCCCTTGTATGTTACATTGACCCCCTTCATGCTATTACATTGTCTGCATCCCAGCATGCTACCTCCAATCCCTAAATTGAGATTCTAGCTTCCCACAGCAGTGACTGCTTATAATCCCCATTGGCTTTCGGTGGACAAAACTCCAAAATTGACCATAGCCACCCTGTTAGCCAATTTGGAACGATCAGCACCAACTGGAGAGTGACTTGGCCCTTGACTGATTTCTGTGCAACTCCCTGGATTAGTTGGATCTCCAGGACTGACCATGAGCCACTTCCTGGACTGTAATGATAAAGACCCCATGACCTTGTTCAAATCCCTAAACCAGTAGCTGCCCTTGACTTACTGTGCCAGGAAACCCTGGTTGAAGTTTGTCTCCTTTGTTTGAAGACTAGACTTTGATACATGGCCATTTAGTTGAATCGTATGCAATGTGCTTGCTGTGTAGGCTTCTAGCACATGACTGGTATAAAATTGACAGAGCCCGTACAGAAAGCCTTCGACTAATGACTGCTGATGACCATGACAAGCTAGTTGACTTTTGGTGTGCGCAAGGCAAGAGAGAGGCACTGTGAGCCTTTAAGCGCTGGCTGGGGTGGAAAAGTGCAAATAAGCAAGGCAAGGCTTATGTGCTCCGAGCATCAAAGTAGGGACAAAGTGAGTGAGCATCAAGAGTGCAAGCAAGGAATCCTGAGAGATTCCCTGGTCCAATCAATGAGTTGTGTGCCTGTCCCTGTGTCCGAGCAACAGCATTCCAATTGAAGGTGCCAGTGCGCATCAAAGTGTCGAGCTCGATTATAAATATATCAGAGGTGTGCTATGAGGATGTGGTGAGGCTGTTTGCCAATAGTGTGGCCTGAGATGTTGGGACTGCTATCCAAGATGGAGGCACGGTGGAAACCAGAAGCGAGCTAGAGTTGCCAGTACCTGTTCTGATTTTCGTTTTGGAATTTTTTGCTGCTTTAGTTTCTATCCAGAGGGTGGGAGAATGGGGAAACTGATATCAATGAGTCAACGTTATGTAATAATGGCATACAAATAGGCCTCTCACTGTTTGCTGGCAAGATTTTCATCACTGTTCACCACTTGGTTAGAGAATGGCAATTTTTCATCTGAACGTTGAGAATCCAATTTCTGTCAATCTCAACTGACTCACCAAGGCCCAAATCAATCAACAGCCACAAAGATTCTGTTTTCAAGGATTCAACCTGTTTTGAGGTGAGGATGCATGTTCTGTTAGGTTAAGTACATGTTTAGTCTTTCAGTATGCCCACTGCCAATACTTAACCACTAGGCCAGGTGGTGATCCATTGTGTTACAAAGATACTTGCAGAAGAATTGGAAAAACTGAAGTATCTGTGCCTTACTTTAAAACTTCCAGCCAACTTTGAGTTTTAAATGTTGTTGATTTAGAACAAAAGTCAGGTCCTAGCAAGCAAATCTATGCAGATTATGACAAATTGCTGCGGAAACTCAGCAGGTGTGGTAGCATCTGAGAAGAAAGCAGAGTTAACTTATGCGGAAGGTGAAATTGGGAGAGGGAAGATCGGGAAGGGAGAGGTGAACAGATCATTGGAGATTGAGCCCATGAGAGATATGAAAGGGGTCGGTGAACAAGATTATGGATAGCAGGCCAGGACAGAATAAGTGATGGTAAGTGCTCAGAGTAGGAGAGATGGGGTGAGCTGTACTGAATGCAACCCATATAATGTGGTAATGGGCTTTGAAGTACATTAGAATGGGTGACAAGTGCTAAAAGCAACCCATTTCATAACAGGACTGGGTGTGGGGTGGGTAAAAGAAAATATGGAAGAATGGAATCAGACTCTATGAAGTTATTGAAATCAGTTTGAGTCCTAGAGGCTGCAGGGTCCCCAAGCAGAAAATGAAATGTTGTTCTTCGAGCTTGTGCTGAAGTTCACAGGAACACTATAGCAGGCCACCGATGGAAATCAGAATCAATTCTGCATGTTTCAGTAGTATTGTGCGATAAACTTAGTAGCAGCAGTCCTGCAGTAAAGTGCTTCCCCCTAGTGGCAGCACTGTGGATGATTACTTCATATCAAAGGAGGAGAGATTCTTGCTTAACAGGGCAACAAAGTAAAAGAAATATCAGCAACAAAAAGTTAAATTATCCAATCTTCAACCTAAAGTTTGGCACCAAGATAGTCTTGTTTTAATCAACTAATAGTTCAGATAGCTTATAAATTTAAGATCAGATTTTCCCAGACTGGGAGGCAGTTGTCTAGTAGTAGTAATCCAGGCTGCCAACCTCGTGTTCCTAGCACGTAGGTTTGAATCTGATCATGCCAGATGGTGAAAATGTGAGATCAGTAAAATCTGGAATTAAAATCTAGCCACATGGCAAACATGCAAACATTTTTGATTAGTGAACCAGATGGGTTTGTACCGTAATGTCCTTTTTAGGGAAGAAAATCTGTAGTTCTTACCTGATCTGACCTTGACTCTTTCTTTTTAAAGGGCCCTTGGACAACTAGGACTTGTGTTCAAGGTTGACTGTATCAATGGCATTCACATCCTATGTATTTTTTGCTGAGCCTAGGTATATTTTTCAGTTTGTGTATCATCGACATGAAATCAGGGACCAGCCACCATAGAGGACACCTGTTATTAGGAATTTCCCTAATAATGATGTTGGAAAAACAAAGGGCCAACTTTTCTGAGTAGTGAAAATCACAGATTGCCACTTATTCCTTCTGATTTACCCATCTCCAGAGCTTAGGGTTTCTGAATAACACTTCAATATCAGGATAAAGTAAAAGATTTTGCAGCAACTGCTCAAGTTACTCGTCAGAAACACACCCTTCCAGTACAGTGCAGCAGCTAGAGGCCAAACCATGCTCCACATGTCCAGCAGTAACGATCCTAAACCATCGTTGAGAGAGAAGATAATTCTGTAAGCTTAGACAGTCTGGCCATGGACTGCGTCTTTGTGATATGGCCCAATAGGTTGACTACCAGTCTTAAATCCTTTCAATACAACTTTTGACAGGTGCTAAGACAAGAGTCTCCTGGTCAGCCAAGCTTGATTTGCAAGGTGAAGAATAGAGCATACGGCAGGGGTAAAACCATGTTTGCTTGACACCTTATTCTGACTCCACTAAATTAATCCTTTTTATCTTTGTACTGGGCTGTATGATGGGCGATGGTACTTGTGACATTCAGATTTTATGTATTTGTTGTATGAATACTCTATGCTAGAAAATATTGGAGAATGTTTTAATACTCCAATACCTCACATGCTTTGTCATCAGAAAAGTGCCAAGTATGAAACAGAAAATCGCTGGGAAGTCTCTGCCAACAGAGAAGTTTGCAATCAGGAAGGCTCGACGGTACCTTTCACAAAATCCGGTAAAACTCCCAGTACCTGCTCTGGTGAGTACCTTTTTAGTTTCAGAAAATTTGCCACTCTGTTCTTTTACTTTGCTTTCACCTCTTGGTAATTGTGAGCAAAACTACTCTCATTGTATAAATCTGCTGTAATTGATTCTCTCTCTCTTCCTCCCTGTTGTTACTCTGGTGCAGCTGTCATAGACAAGGCTAGCATTTGTTGCACATCCTTTATTGAGTTGCTGCATCTTGAGCACTGAAGTCCATTGTGTCCTCTCGCTCATTTTATTTGTACATTTTTCTCCAATCCAGTTCGCCTTGCTTGTAACCTACAAAGGATCAAATAAGAAGTGAAGTATTAAAATATGTGCACAAAATAAAAATCACCTAATTTCTCAAATGGGAAAGCTTGGTTTTTAAACAGTAATGCTTAGTTCTAGGTTCCACAGTGAGACGAAACATCCTCTCCCCATCCATCTTGGTTCAAGATGTCCTCCTGCTTAAATAGTCTCATTTAAATCAACCTTCAGCTTCTAAAACTCAAGCAGATACAAGGCTAGCTTGTCCAACCTTTCCTCGTAAGGCAACCCACTCATTCCCGGTATTTAGTCTGATAAATCTTCTCTCAACTGCTTCCAACAAATATTTAAATAATATGGCCTAATCGTGTGGTCCCATCAGTGTCGTGTATCTGAAGCACAACCTCCCTACTTTTGTATTCAATTCCACTTGCAATAAGTAGTATTTTAATAGCTTTCTTAATTTCTTGATATACCTGCAGACTAACCTTTTGTGATTCATGATGTAAAACAGCCAGGTCCCTTTTATAAATCTCAATTCTACATTCTTTCCTGCAAAGATCAGGCAAATAGTGTACAGTTAACCTGTTGGTATCCTGCAGTAATCTTATGTTAACTTCACAATTTGCTGTCATAGCTATCTTTGTGTCATGGGCAACCATATCTTTATCCAAGTCATAAATATTGCAGTAGGATTCATTTTTATAAATTAAAAATGATCATTTTTTTGAGTTTGGATTTTAAAATTGTGGCATATGGAGATGGATTTCTTTTGTGAAGAGTTTATCCAAAAAAAAATTCACACTATGATTTGTCTTTCTGGTGACCTGATCCAGCATGTCAGACAGCAGTTGCTTAGGAAATCTAGAGTTGAAGCTTTGGGCTGTTCAGAGGAGTCCTCACTTGGGTAAAAAATAGTGTCTCTGTCTTAGAAAGGCATATAGGATAGTTCAGGGAAAGTGTAGTTTGGTTGGTAATCTGCAGGTTATTAAAAGCTGAGGAAAATCAGTTTTGAACTTTAGTTAGGCCACACTTGGAATATTGCATACAGTTCTGGTTACCACACTACAGGAAAGGTGTGGATGCTTTGGAGAGGGTACAGAAAAGGTTTGCCAGGATGTTGCCTGGTATGGGGAATTTTAGCTATGAAGAAAGGTTGGATAGACTGGGATAACAAAGTGTAGAGCTGGTTGAACACAGCAGGCCAAGCAGCAGCTCTTGGCCTCTGCTGTGTTTCATCCAGCTCTACACCTTGTTATCTCAGATGCTCCAGCATCTGCAGTTCCTACTATCTTGGATAGACAGGATTTGTTTTCACTAGAATGTAGAAGGTTGAGGGGGTGACCTAATAGAAGTTTATACGATTGTGAACAGCATTGAGTGGAACATGAGGTTTTTCCCAGGGTAGAGGGGTCAATTATTAGTTTTAGTATGGAAGGGCAAAATATGGCAACACACACTTGGAAGGCTGAAGGGCCTGTTCTTTGAAAGTATTTATGTAAGCAGAATTCAGTTCACAAGAAGAATTGGGGAAAATCGGTTAAATTGAACTTAAAAAAAAAAAGGGTAATTTCTCTGGATGAGTCTCCTTAAGTGTCAAGAATTAGGATTAGACTTTGTTTTGCTGTGTTTTTTTTCCTACGTAATACACTTTTTATTCTGCAGCCTTGATTGTTTCAGTAACTGATCACAAATCAACAAGTTAAATAAAACAAAACCTGTCAAGACAGATTTAATTGCGATCTGACTTGTCCAATTGTTTCATCAGCTGGGATCATAATATTTATTACATTTTGCCAACCTTTGTCTGTACCCTGCTTTCAATTAACCAGTCAATCTTTGATCTTTGCCAGTTATATAACTCTCTTCATCATGAGCTTTCACTTTCAACAATAAGCTTTTAAGGTACTTTAGCAAATGACTTCTGGAAATCCAAGGACAATATAATCCATTTGTTCCCCTTTATCCACAGCACATTACATCCTCAAAGAACTCCAATGGATTGATCAAACATTTTCCTTTCACAAACCAAGGTTAATTCTGTCTGATTACCTTAAATAAATTTAAGTTACAGAAAGGCACTTATTTAGTAATAGCTTCTATCATTTTCCCTATGACAGATGCAGATGATCAGCAGCTAATTTGATAAACACTAGAAATTTATTTTTGGTTAGAATACTTCAAGAAACACCTGCATTTAGGGTGTAAAAATGTGCAAAAGGTAATTTGGTTAATGTAATTTCAGGAAATGATGTATATTTGGAATGGCTATACAGTAATTGGGAAACATCAAGATATGACTGAAGGTATGCTTGAGACACTTAATGAAGCAGAGAGAACACTTGAAAATGGCCCAGGTAAGTCCAAGCCGAAGAATTTTAAGTTTAATTGGATCTTAACACATTAAAGTAGTAACAGTTCCTTAGAATTAGGGAAAGGTATGAGGGAACTGCCGTATGACTTGTATACCTGCAGAGTTCAGATATTTTTTCAGTAAATATATATTATCTACATCTTCAGATTCTATTGGTTTTAATTAAGTACAATGGTGAAAGAAAATTGTTCTCTGAAGGTTGAATGGGTGTAGATCTTATTCTCCAGTACTGTAACAGTTACACCACTAGACGAACCAGGGGTTAGACTAATAATTGAAAGAATGCAAATGCAAATTCTGGCATGGCACTTCAAGAATTTGAATTTAGCTTAATTTATAAATGAACCAGCAGACAAGTGATGACTAGAAATTTGTCATATGGTGTTATTTGTCATAAAATCTCAACCAAACTTCCCTCATCTCGTCTGCCATATAAGGAATGATGGCCCCGGGTAGTTGGAGACAACGTACCTTCAAAAAATACACCACAGGCCTTTTCATGCACAAACTGGATTCCAAATTTTCCCTCATTACAACAGCAACGACACTTCAGAAAGAACTTCATTAGCTATGAAGCACTAAAGGGCATTCTAAGGATGTTTAAAGTCTTATGTAAATAAACAAAGTCCTTAGGGTACAAAAAGATAAAAGGATAAACTGGGAAATCCATATTTTTTTATAAATAACTTTTCATTTGCAGTAACAGAGTTTCTGGTTGATGACCAGTGTTTGGTGAAACTGCTCAAAGGCCTTTGTCTGAAGCACTTGGATAAATTTTCAGAAGCAGAGCAGTACTTCCATTGGATTCATACAAAGTGAGTAAAACTGACATTCAGATTCTAAATTAGACTGTTTTCTCCAATATTGTTAGGGAAGCCTAAGACACACAATATTGTTTAACAAAAAACTTAGAACATAAAATGGAGGGGTGAAAATATAAAACAAAATTAGGAAAGCAAAGAGAAGGCATGGAAAACATTTGAGAAATCTGAAGATATTTTATAAATAGAGGAAAAAAAAAACAAAAGTGAGAGTTGGGCCTTTTAAGGACCAAGGTGGTATCTTCACCAAAGGACATATGATTTTTAATGGATAGTTTTTATTTGTTTTATTAAAAGGACAATATGGACATTGCAACTGAGAGAATGGGAAATCTTAGTGAAATTAAAATTATTATTCATCTGGAATTGGAGACTTATCTTCGATTAAGGGAAGAAACAAAATAGCAGAGAAGCTGAAAGTCCTTTTCAAATCCTCTTCCTATACTCTGTTTGAGACCAGAAAGTTAACATTTTCTAGAAAAGGATAGGCAGTGATTACAGCCCAGTGAGCCTAACATTAGCCATAGGAACATTGTTGGAAGAAATTCAGGGACAAGGTAATTTCCATTTGGAAAGATATGGTGTCTCTTGACTGAGAAGAGTGGCTCAATAATTATACCTCTCCATTGAACAAGCCAACCCAAAATGTTATTTATTTTTACACTTAATTGTAACAAATGGCAGAAAAAAGGAATTATAATCTACTGCTATATACCCCTTTTACAGCCCCAAAATATATACACACACATTCACTATTAAGACAGACGAGAGGCAGTTTGATACAGATAATCTACATAGAGAAAACAAAATTCCAAGTGATCCATAGTTTCATGGGAGAGTTAAGGAATTCTGAGAATTTTTGATTTCAGCAATTATGATAAATTATTTTTGTTCCAGTGAAGGTATGAGTCCAACTTCCATTCCAGGTGAGGGGCACAAAAAAGGAAAATTATCAAAGGCAGCACATATTTAAGAGTAGATTATACCTGATTAACATGGATGAATTTGTATGGATTTTAGCCAGTTGATTAAAATGAGCAAATATCTTCAAGTTAACTAGTATTTGCTGTCACTTTATTTCAGAGAGCAGAAGATCAAATACGACCATTACTTAATTCCAAATGCCTTACTTGAACGTGGTCTCCTTTGCATGCAAACAGGAAGAAATGATAAGGCAATAAAAATTCTGGAAAGTGCAAAGTAAGAAAATTGAATAATTGTGAATTAAACATGTCTTTACCTTTGGCCTTTCAGCATATTGTCCAGACAGTTACACTTCTAACAATATGTTAAGTGGGTAAAGTAGTACAGCCTAATTCAATATGTTCTAGGCAAAAAAACATGAATATTGTTACAAACAAATTAGAAACGGTGGACTGATACCTTTCCCTGTCCCACTCTTCTACTGGTTGCAAATGAGTTTGCATTTAAAAGGGAGGTGATATTGCTAGTTATATCAGATTGTATATAGCTGAGTATCAAGAACAAGTCAGCCAACTTCCTTAAATGAAGAACAATTTGTTTGAGTATTGATGAAAAAAGTGTCAAATGTGACACATTTAGGCCATTTTGCAAGAAACACTGAAGTAACAATTATACTGATCTGATTGTTTTGAAAGTGGGCTAAGTGAGAGAGTAGTGACAGAGAATGCAGCAGTTAGATTATGACTGGCAGTTAACAGCCCAGTTTTGTTGAGGCAGGTTGACTGGAATTATTCATAGTATCGCTTTTGAGAGAATGAACCCAAAGAAAAAGGCACAAATGCTAAATTTACACCCAGCAGAGAACACTACAAATTGTTATAAGCAAATTAATCTGTTTTTCACTCCAGAAACCTCAAACTTGGGTAAATGGTGTATACAATAACTCTGCTGACATGTGACTGTGTAGAGAAGATACTATAATGTACTAAACTGAATCACTGGTTAAAAAGCTACTGCATTGTTTTAACAGAACAGATAAGCATAGTAAGCCTAAAAATTCAACCATGTCTAGTCAGGAGGCACTAAGCACATATTGATATCTATTGCTATAAAGGGAACACTTGGTACCAGCAATAACATAACCACATACATCAACCTGTAGTGAACACTCTTTCACATCCCTACCTTCTTATAGTTTACAGATATTCCATAAAAACAAAAAACTTACCTGGCCAACAGACTAATGCCACCACCTTCTCCAGGGCAATATATGCTGGCCGAGCCAGTGATGTCCACATGCCATTAACAAAAAGAAAATAACAATTTAGTAACATATGCCTCTAATCCAGGGTCCTCACACTTAGAGGCTCTTCTACCATTGTCTTTATTACTCATTCATGGGGTTTGGGCATTCTGTCCACCATTTATTCTATTTCAAATGGCCTTTAAAGAAGGTGATGCGAGATAGCTTCTTGAATAACTACAGTCCAATGCTGTTAGGAAAGGAGTTGTAGGATTTTGACCCAGCAACAGTGAAAGAACCGAGCTATGGCTCCAAGTCAAGATAGTGTGGGGCTTGGGAGGGAACTTGCAACAGTATTACTGAAGCAACCCCACTGCTGGTTAACCCTGCATACAATCCTTTGTTTATCATGTAATTATGAAACATTTCAAATTTTACCCTTGTAACAGTTTTAGGTACAAGTTACCTGAGAACATTGATTATATTGAAGCCCAAATGAATTTACGTTGTTAAGTGGGAATGTCACCCAAAGTATCTGCCAAATTACAAACTCCACACTGAATTGTGAACTTGGCTCTGGCTTTCACACCTGGAATTTGTGTTATTCCTATCTACAGACCACAGTCTTGAAGGTAACCAATTTTTAACTTGATAAACAGTCAGTCAGTCAATAATGTGGAACTCTTGAAAATAACAATCACAGACCATACAATCATATGAAGGCTTAAGGCAAAAATCTAACTATTTGAAATGGGTAAGAATGAGTAATTAACTCAGTAACAATCACTTGCCGTCCTTAATATGGGTTACTATTTAAGCACCATAAAGTGAAGTAGTTTCTATTTTCATTGACTTCCCTTGTAAGTCATGACAAACATATCAAGGTGAGGGAAAATAGAGCAAGACCTTTGGACCACATGTGCAATTTACAAATTGCAAAATGGAGACGATTTGGTACGATATTGCTGGGAGAAGGCATTATATCATTTAGAGACATTTTTGCAATGAGTTTTTTTTTAACATAATGGAGCAAGTTAATGAGTGACCTGCTTAAAGCTGTCAGTCATAAGATAAATTAGTAATTGCTTTATCCCACTAAAACATCCTGGAGGTTACCATTAACCAGAAACTGAAGTGGATTCACCATATAAATAGTGGCTACAAGAACACCACCGGACTCTCCAAAGCATATTGACCATCTAAAAGGCACAAGTCAGGAGTACGAGGGAATACTCCCCGCTTGCGTGGATGAGTCCAGCTCCAATAACACTCAAAGCATGGCATCTTGCAGGACAAAGCAACCTGTTTGACTGGCACCACATCCACACCCTCCCTCCATGACCAACACTCAGTACATACTACTGATACGATCTACAAGATGTCCTTCTAGATGACTGCAGTGTAAGGGCAGCAGATAAGTGGGAACATGACCATCTGCAAGATCCCTTCCAAGCCACTCCGAATCTTGGAACTCCCTCTCTCCCTATTAGCATTGTGGATCTGCCTGCAGTAGTTCAAAGAAGCCAGCTCACCACCGCTTTCTCAAGGGCAACTAGGGACAGGCAATAAATGCTGACCTAGCCAGTGATGTCCACATCATACAGGGGGTATAAAAAATTAGGATAATCATAACATGAATAAAAGGAGACATTAGAAGATATGCTTTCACGGAATTATTTTCTACATATAATTGCAAAGTCTATCAAAAGAGAATTAGCTATTTCAAAGATACATTTTAAAAGGTTTGAGAATGAGCAAGATGCTGGGTCTAGTCTGTGTGGCTTACATGTAGTATAAAAAAAAAATCAGAGCCAGCCCCCATTTGGCTCATACATTTAAAAGCTTCAGCAATGTGAAAATTTAGTATTGGATCTTGGCTGATCTAATTGAGATAAGAGGAGCAGATCAGAAGCTAGAGTGGAAAGCCCATTGACTTTCTTAACCTAACCCTTGTGCCGTGTAGATTTTGGAAAGGCAGAAGTCAAGATAATATGGAAAAAAAATCATTTTACTGGAATAAGGGCTAATCTAACAATACATAAGAAACATCAAAAATAGGAGCAGGAGTATACCCATTCTGCCCTTTCAGCCTGCTCTGCCTCTAATATGATCATGGCTGAGCATCCCAACTTGGTACCTTGTTCTTGTTTGTTTTTCCCCCTATCCTTGGATTCCTTTAACCCCAAGAACTATACCTAACTCCTCCTTGAAGGCATTCAATATTTTTGGTTGCAGAGAACTCCAGATTCACCACTCTCTGCTTGAAGAAATTTCTTCTCATCTTAGTCCTAAATTATGTACCCTGTATCCTTAGCCCGTGACCAAAGCATAAGCAGTGTGGAACTGGACCAGTTGAAGTCCAATGCTGAGTTAAGGGTGGCAGATCAGAAGCAAGAATGGCAAGTCACTGACCTTTCCTTCCCCCCACCCCAAATGCCTGAACACCATCCAGGACACAGCAGCCCAGTTGGTTGTTCCAGCTGCCAATCATTAGCACACCTTAAATACAGTGTGTGACATATACAACATGTATTTAACAGGTTGCAAAGATTCTGATCCAACACCCCCGTGTGTGACCTCTATCATTTGGAAAAACAGTGCGCCATAACTTGCAAGCTCACATCCCAAGTCATTCACCATCTCAATTACAGCACTGACAGTATAGTTATGCCATGTGGAATTCGAGGAGCTCACCATCACTTTCTTCAGGGCAATAAATGCAAGCTTCACCAATGATACCTGCAACCAGTGAAACAAAAATTTAACTGAATTGCACAATGTCAAATGAAAATTGCCTTCAGTGACCTTTCATGTCAGCTATGCTGATAACAGGTAAATTACACAAAAGAAACAGGGCAATTGAGCAGAAACTGTAAGTTCATATCAGTCATCAAGTCAGAGATATACAGCATGGAAACAGACCCTTCAGACCAAGTCATCCACGCTGATCAGATATCCTAAGTAAATCTTGTCCATTTTGCCAGCATTTGGCCCATATCCCTCTAAACCCTTCTTCTTCATACACCCATCCAGATGCCTTTTAAAATGTTGCAATTGTCCCAGCCGCCACCACTTCCTCTCGCAGCTCATTGCATACATACACCACCCACTGTGTGAAAAAGTTGCCCTTCGGTCCCTTTTGCCTTAAATCTATGCCCTCTGGTTTTGAGCTCCCCCATCCCGAAGAAGGAGAAGACGACGACACCAACACTCAGCAGGTCTAGCAGCATCTGTGAAGGAGAAAAGAGTTAACGTTTCGGGTCTGGTGACCCTTCCTCAGAACTGTTCCCCAGTTCTGAGGAAGAGTCACCGGTCCCGAAACGTTAACCCTTTTCTCCTTCACAGATGCTGCCAGACCTGCTGAGCTTTTCCAGCAACTTTGTTTTTGTTCCTGATTTACAGCATCCGCAGTTCTTTTGGTTTTTACCTTCTCTATTTACCCTGTCCATGTCCCACATGATTTTATAAGGTCACCCCTCACTCTCAGACAATCCAGGGAAAATAGCCCCAGCCTATTCAGCCTCTCCCTATAGCTCAAACCTTCCAATGCTGGCAACATCTTTCTAAGTCTTTTCTGAACTTTCCTTCAAGTTTCACAACATCCTGCTTATAGAAGGGAGGCCACTGTTGCACGCAGTATTCCAAAAGTAGCCAAACTACTGTCCTGTACAGCCACAACATAACCTCCTATCTCCTATACTTAATGCACTGACCAATAAAGGCAAGCATAACAAACATCGCTTTTACTATCCTATCTACTGCGACTCCACTTCCATGGAACTATGAACCTGCATTCCAAGGTCTCTGTTCAGCAACACTCCCCAGGATCTTGCCATTAAGCATAAAAGTCCTGCCCTGATTTGCATTTCCAAAATGCAACACCTCACATTTCTCTAAATTAAACTCCATCTGCCTCTCCTTGGCCTATTGGCCAATCTGATCAAGATACCATTTGTACTCAGGTGACCATCTTCACTGTCCACTACACCTCTAAAATTCTGGTGTCACCTGCAAACTTTCTAACCATACCTCCCACCCATGCATTAACATTTAAAAATATATATAACCAAGCACTTCTTTAAATGCAACACAGAAAAATGATTTAAGATAGACATCTCTCCATGAAACAAAATAAAAAGGTTATGCCTACAGGGGGAGATGAAGTAGGGTGAGAAGAGACTTGCGTAAATAATGTAATGTAAAATACAAAGGACTTGGTTTGATTGGTAACTGCATTAGATACCTGCAGAAAAAAAAGGGATCTTCCACAGATAAAAGTCAGCTGAAATTGTTTAGAAATTTAGAAACATGTCATTTCAACTTAAAAAGATCAGTTTGTTTTAAGCAGTTGAATTTCATGGTGTTGTATCCTACTGTTGAATGGTACAACCAAACAAAGATAATCCAGTACATTGCTTTAAAAAAAAAGACAAAGACATACTGCCAAAGCTTTTAGTCTGGTACTCATCAAGACAACTGCAAGAATGTCAAATTTCAAAAATAATTTTAAATAGGAGAAAAGGGGTGGTAACTGGTTTCCAAGTTGCCCTTGATTTGTTGAGAAGTTGCCATAAGGAAAGCAACAGAAGCATTACAAGTTTGATCAGTTACTGCAGATTGGTTGTTAGTGCAGTCAGACTTATTCAGGTAGCACTGTCAATCTCAGAATCTCGGTTATTTTAATGGCTTAAAACATAATACGGAGCAATGAGAAGTGATGCTCCAAAGAATTGAGTAGAGAGAAGGCAGTGTAAAGAAATTTAATTTTTCTAAAATGTATACAGTTGTATGTTTTCTGCATATTTGCTACTCTCTTTTAAACCGTACACCTCTGGATAAAGATTTTCAAACTGTGAATTGTTTAGGAGATCAGTTATGCAATCTTTTCCCCCCTCCCCCAGGCAAAATTACAAGAATTATTCAATGGAGTCAAGAACACATTTTCGAATTCAAGCCGCACTACTTAAAGCAAAATCTCACACGCACAATGGAAATCAATCATTGCCTTCTCCACCTTAAAGTCGAATTATTGATACAAGAGAACTACAAATGATAAGCAAAATGTTTCCTTCTTTGGAGATTGGTACACAAAAGTAGGTGCAGAACAACAGATTCTAGAAATCTGAAATAAAACAAAGTACTGGGAAAAACTCCAGTTCTGAAGAGTCATATTTGACTTGAAACATTAACTCTGTTCCTCTCTCCACAGTTGCTTCCAGACCTGCTGTGTATTTCTAATGGTAATTTGTTGCTATTTACTGCAGTACAAAAATCACTAATCAGGTTCACATGGTTTATGTACACAACTGGGCATTACTCTTGCTCGCTCTCTCAAAGAAATGTAATAGTGTTTTGGTGATCTACAGCACAATTATTTAGACAATTATTATGTGTAAGAATGTAAATGTATAATTCTATTTGGAACTACATTTGCACAAGACATGGATCCCTGAAAGTCACAACCAAGGATACATTTTAACACCCCACCTCTCCAAATTTGTGTACCAGTCAAACTCAAGTCTACAAAACTTCTTTTAAGATACTTGTTATTAGTTTAATACAATCCAAAGATGAGAAAGGTTCTGTACTAGAGTAAGTTATCACTTGAAATGTTATCTGGTTCTCCCTGCAGATGCTGCACATCAGAGTTTCTCCAGAACTTGGTTTTTATTTCAGATTTCCAGCATCTGTTATTTTACTTCGGTTTATTTAAACCTGATTCAATTGCGTAAACTGCCTTCATTTAAATTGGGAAAATAACACAAAACAGTTTCATTATTATTAATTGCAAAGACATTGGTTGCAACATAGGAAGCCTGTTTCACTATAGAAACAAGTATTAAAAGTAGTTCGTGTCTAGTTTATGGTATAGTTACGTATTATACTTAATCACCTTTAAATTTTGCTGAAGGTGTTTAAAGTTGTGAACATAAATACATAAACAGGTTGTTTTCCTTAAAATAATTATCTGCAAAGAGGATACTTTGCAAGCTAAATGATGTTTGAAAGCTAGGTTCTGAGTCATGACCAAACTCAAAACATGAACTTGGTTTCCCTCTCTATCAATGCTACTACTCCAAGCGATCAGACTGAAATAATCAAGGGAAGGACTGGACACACAATACAGCCTTG